TAACTTTTGTTCTACCAAACACCAAAATTGGAATTGAAGTTCACAATTCTAATTCCATAGTTTGAATTCCATGTACCAAACGGGACCTAAATTTATTTCTAAACTTCCCAATAGTATATTAAGATTTATTGGATATTTTTTTAGACAAGACTATATTTTCACATATTTGATTTGACTAGTATTTTGACTCGTGTCATGCATGGGTGGAACGAAATTGTTTTCGATTCTACGATATGGAATATTAAAACAACTTGATTTTTTATGGTATACACCATTTAAATTTCATATATATATATATATATATATATATATATATATATATATATATATATATATATATATATAAAATTCTTCTCCCTCGCATTTATTTAAAAAGCTTGAATTTCGGATCTTACAATTTTATGATTCAAAAAATCATGATTCTTTTCTGCCGAATTAATTTACATTAACGAAAATATGATTCTTCTCTCATGCATTAATATGATTCTTCCTCTCCCCGGCCCTTTGCATTGATTAAAAAATTACTTTTTTCTCCCACATCATTAATGTTGGATATAAGTTCAAACCCCTTTTATATATTGTGGAATATTTTTTTGGTTTTGATAAATGACAAACATGATGATTAAAATCAACGATGATCAAAAATTTATTTTCGTATCGAGAAAAGCAAAGAGGCGTATCAAGAAATTTACAGCAATAAAAATCAACGCTCACCCCTACGCAGTATTTTTGAAGTGAAGTGAAGATTTCGAAGGCTTTTATTTTTTATTGAGTCTAGAAATTTTTGTAAGGCTGACAATAATTTTTGCATAAACAAATTAATTTTTGAGGGACAAATTATTATTTTCTGAGTCAGTTGAAAATCATTTTTTCTCTGTCTAAAAATAATTTACTGAGTCAGTTTCAAAATAGAGTGTCAAAATTTCTTAAAAATATATTTTTAAGTTACACAAATTTTTTGTGGTAAGAAAAATACACTTTAAATATTTTCCATGTATACCATTTGACACACAAAATATTTGTGGGACTCAATTTCTACAGCAAAAACCATTTTTTAATTCAAATTTTAAATTTTAATTTATTCTTTTCAACCTATTTGATTTGTTTGTTTTTGGGAGCCTTATCATCCTAAAAACTTGTCTAAAACAAAATCAAAAAACTCCAAATTGTACATCTCACTCGCACACATGTTTTGGGTCCTCATGTTTGGGCTTTGTTCGTTAGGGGATCGATCGTTTTCATTGGATCGATCACCGTGTGAGTGCTCTGGGAGTTGGATCGATCCAGTCTATTAGATCGATCACTTTATTTTTGGTATTTTTCATCGGAGGATTGATCATCCTTTTTGGATCGATCCCCCGTGAGTCTAACAAAAACTCATTTCCCGAATTCTGACTCCTTCGGATCGATCCTTTGCCCTAGATTGATCCCCCGTTTTTTGACTAAAAATTATTTTCGAATCTTAACTCCAGGTGATCGATCCCCTGGTCTGGATCGATCTCAAATGTTGTAATATGTCAAAATCAGCTCTTCCCTACCTCCAACGAATTTATTTCTTTTAACCCTATAAAATCCCTCATCCTCCTTCATTAAAAACACATCTCTCGCACTCCAAACCTTCATTACTCAATATTCAATTCTTGCTTCCATCTTCCTCAACAAATATATTATTTTGAGAGTTAGAAATATTTTTATTGAGTGCTAAAGATATTGTCATCCATAAAGCTTTCATATTTCAACACTTCATGCTTAATTGTGTGAGCTTTCATTTCTGTGGTGTAAACTCAATCTTGTTTGAGTGTTGCTAAGACTTGTGTGATTCAAGTCTTGATTGAAGAGAATCATGTCAAGCATGCGTAAAACCCTACATTTAGATCTATAGCCCATCCATGTGTATATGTTTCCTTTAATGGTGGATTCCAGAAGACTGCAGCTGAGAATATAGTCTCTGAATTCCTCCATACTTCTGCTACAGGGAGTGCTACTGCCTTTATGCTCTATGTAGGAGGTAGTAGTGTTGAAATCCCCTCCCAGAATCCATGGTTTATGGTTTATCTTCTAGATTGTGGTCAATGAGAGATTCCCAGAGCTTGAGTCTTTCAATTCTGTTGTGTTTACCATAAACTGAACTAATAAAGATAGGAGCATTACTTTCCACAAAATTGAAGAGGCAAGTAGTAACTTGTTCACCCTCTTGGACTTGGGATAGAGTGAGACTGTTATTGTCCCAAAAATCCAGCATTTATTAAATTGTGTTGAAAAACCATGATTGAAGCCAAGCTTGAGTCTGTAAAAGTCCAATTTTTTGTATTCAACAATAGGTTCAAAAACTGCTAGGAAAAGAAAATTGTAGCACTTCTTGAGGAGAATAAGTCGATTGAGGGAAGACATTCTAAAAAAGAGCTTTCATTGGGACACTCAGTGAATAGAACTCTTATTGGCAGATCTGAGCCTAGATTTCATTGAAGAGTTGCACTGGTTCTGTTGCCCTTTTTCTGGGATAGGTGGGAGGCCTTTGGTAATGCATGGGTATCATACATTATCTCTAAATCCTCACAATCTGAATCATCACTATCATATTCTTCTTCTTGTAATAAGAGTGGTGAGACTTTAGACTCATCAATAGGCAAGGATTTCCATAGGATCAAAGCCATATTGTTTACAGCTTCTGGACCTTGAGGAGAATGGATTGGGATGGGAGCTGAAGTGGCAAGTGCAGATGTGGGAGCTGTTGATGGTGGGACAGCAACTGGAGTGGGAACAACTAGTACTGGAGAGGCATTGTCCAGATGTGGGACAGCAACTGGTGTGGGAACAGGTGGTACTGGAGTGACATTGTCGTGTAGCTGTTGAGCGCGCCATTGGTGGGTGTGGGAACAACTAGTATTGGAGTGACCTTGTCCACATATGCTTTGGAACATTCCCCAGGTCCAGAAAGAAAGGGTCCCATCTGGTGGTCCCAAAGTGGTGAAATACAAAGTCTAGAGGGGGGGGGGGTGAATAGACTTTGTTACAGATTTCAAATCTTTTTCGTTTCTTTTGAAAACGTGAAAATAAGTGTTCATCTAGAGTTCTTGTGAACTTTAGATTGTGTGCGGAATTAGGTGGGTAGAGTGAGCAGTAATCAATATGGATGGGTTAGTTTTCACAGTTAATATAATTGCAAGTAAGAGTAAAGATAAAAGAGAGAGACACGCAAACTTTAACGAGGTTCGAAGGTGGGGTAATCCTTCTACGTCCTCAAAATCCACTATGTAGTTGGTTGTTGAATAATGAACCAACAATTACACTTGTGTGAATTTCTGCACGGTATATCTTCGCAAGGCCAATGTTGCTACTGCACTCGTGCTGGCTTTGTTGTTCCTTCGAAGGTCA